TGAGTGGAGTGAAACTACTTAGGCCATAAGGTCCTATTTGAACAAAATGGCAGCTACCAGACGGTGAGGCAGGCCTCGAACTCAGGGTTTTGATCTCTGATCCAACTGGTAACACAGAGAAGCTTCCTTTCACGTTCTGTACAGCAGCCCTGTGGAGGTTGGTGCCCTTAATGTTGTTTCCTTAGGAGTGCTAGATATGCAGAGACATGAGACACTAGAGTGAACAGGAAAGCAGTGCAGGGGTCCGACCTGTCTCTTTAATGGAAACTCTTTCTTTCATTATGAAACTACTGCCTCATTTGGCACAAGCTGAGTACATGCTGGGAATAGCAGGGTAATTGCAGGTCATGATGATCTAGAAGGATTAGTTAGTTTGTATAAACATGTTCCGAGTCCAGCTATGTTTCAGTTAAGCTGCACACAGAAATACCAAAGCAGTCCAGCCTTGGTTCAGTGTCACAAACTGTTTATTTGTACAAGAGATCCCTAGAAGTCTACTAATCAAGGAGACAGCCATTTTAGGGAATTAATGGGACCCTCTCTGTAGTGGTTATTTTGAAACCAGATTAGACTGAGCCCTTGAGAAAGCGGCATAGAAAGTAATTCCACGTGGACTCCTGTTGTGAAGCAGGGACGGTGGATCTTTTGAAAGAACTTGCCTATCACAAATGTCTGTTGATTGCATTTGTTCTAGAAGGATATAAATGAAGGGTACGAGGCTGTGGCTTACACATTCATGTAGGAATGCTATTTATGTAGGGCACTGTTTCTGTGTCAAACGCGCTTTCCTTCTTGCCTGTTGAGAAATAGCTGTAAATTTCCTGGGGTTCAAGCAGGCCTTCAAGAAGCTCCTTTTGCATTTTGATGTTTCTAATGAAAACCACAAATGGAAGCTACCCTGGTCATTGTTCACTAAACATTTACTGAGCATTTCCTGTGGTGAGGGAACGGGTTCAGGACTGGATACAGAGATGATAGAGATAACAGGAAAAACAATGTAACATCTTCAAGAAGGTTACAGTCTGGTTTTGGAGGGAAGGAGGAGGGAAGAGACAGATAATGTAAACGGACCATAAACGTATAAGGAGATAAGTGGTGGAACAAAGTTAAGGACAAAGCGCTGGGTGGGTTCGAACTCCACAGGGAAGGAAGCAATTCACTTTGTGAGTTGTCTGGGGAGATCAAGAAAGCCTTCTCAGGAGAGGTGATTTTCAGGCAGGTCTTAAAGGATGGGTTGGAGTTGGGTAGTCCATCAAAGTCACCAGCACCAATAGGCAGGGAGAGAGGTAATGAGATCAGCAAGAAAATAACTTGTCCAAATGGGCTCAGGATAGACTTTTGATTGGCATACTCTGTATCTCCTATTTAAAGAATAGTTTGGTTTCTGTCTTTATTTCTGTGACAAGCTGCTTCTCGTTTGTTGCTTTGACTTCTCTCTTATACCTAATCTCCTTTGGCAATCTTGATTCAATTCAATTTGGCGTTTATTGACATCTTATAATTTTCAGCTCTATATCAGCCCTGTGGGAGACACAAGAGGTCCTGTTCTGTAAGGCTTGGGTGGGCTTGGCTTTCATGTCCTCATTACAGTGCTTTGGAAGCAGGTTGATAAAAATTATCTTCTAGTCCTTAAAAGCCATCCAAATGGACAGTTGACAACTCAGCCTAGTCTCATTTGGGAGGTTAGTGAAAATGTCACAAAACATGCTAGGCATGGATGTTGATGTTTCTGATGGAAACTGTAACTGAAGCTGAAGATGGTGCAATATAAATCCTTTCTTATGACAAACCCAAGCCCCAGGAGTGAGACCACAGGCTGATTCATTTATCTTTCATATGTTTTGGGACAAGCACAATTTTTCCAAAATCTGAAATTGTCTATTATAGGAATGTATGCCTAAGGGCAATATAAATGAAGATATTCCTGGCACTAACATCTCCTGAGTTATAAGGATAAGGATCTCTAAGATCCTATCTTAAAAAACCTACAATGTTGTGTGAATTTTTTCCCACACCTCTTTTGTTTTATTGGCAGATCAAGGAAGGGAAATGCTAACCTAGTTATTAGTTTGACTCAATAGACCCCCTTGTCTGAGGAAAAAACAAAAAGTGATATGAATGGTAACAACCCCAAAATAAACTCATGCTCGCATTCACCACTCTCCTCTGAGGAATAAAAACTAGATCTTGTTCTTTTAAGTGTTTATATTTTGTATACCTTTAAAATCTTATAAAACAGAAAGGAAAAGGTGAGGCCAAGGCAACTGAGGTCAAGAGCGATTACACTGGGTCTGTAAGTACCAGGATAGAAGGGATACTGAGGACCTCTGCCACCCGCTCAGAACACCAAACCCAGATCCTTCTCACATTAAACATACAAATAAACTCAGAAGGCTTTCACTGCGGCGCTTGCCATTGAAAATGTTCAAACTGGCTTCCAGAATTCTCCGCATCACTGGGAGGAAGGGGACCGCCCAATGAACTTCCAGCTAAACACTCTTGAGTTCTAGTTGTTGTTGTTGTTGTTTTCCTGCCCACTGTATTCCCAGGAACCAAACTGAGTTCACAAGAAAATATTAAACTATTTAAGAAGTCACGTCCTTAAACTTTGATGCTGACTCTAAAAACAAGAGGCCTAACGTCTTGGATTCATTTGTTTGCGGGGGGTGTTTTTTGTTGTTTTGCATTCCAGTCATTTTGGCATTTACCAAGTGACTAATACTCCTTGGCAATATCAGTTTATGCTGAACCCAGGACGTTTCATTCAGGCCAAGTATGCTCATGATTATTCAGGTATTTTTGTGAGGTTAGCTGGCCCAATCACTTAAAACTCTGTATGGTCAACACAATATTTTCTCATTTGTTTTCTTATTTGATCCTTAAAACTGACCTATGAGGTAGACTGAAAAGGTTTGATTATTCACCTTCCACAGGTGGGGAAAGCAGACCCAGGGAGGCTAATTTAGACCCAATTATACTAATTTCAGCCTTAATAAGTAGCAGAGTTAAGGCTTACAACTAAGTTTCCCCTCTGCAGGCTCAGAATTGTTCCCACCACACAGGAGGCGATGTACGGTCAAAGAAATCGTGGGCTGGGTGTAAATCCCCACCCTGCCAACCGCCGGCTGCCTGACTTGATTATTTCAGCAAAGATAAGACCTTTCAGAGCAGTCAGTGGCCCAGGCACGACGATGACCAGCTGCTCCTCAAATTGATCATCTCTGAATGTTTATCTTTATTTAGTGAGGGTATAGATAAACTGATTTTCTAATAACAAAAATTCATCGTATCTTTGTTTTAAACAATATGTCCATCCCCTTGTCTTATAGCTCCAGCTCCTTTAGGTCAAAAGTGTTAATGGCCCATATACAGTGCATTAAAGACCTAGAGCAGCATGAGGAGAAGCTCCACACGGTACATTACTTGAGAATGCCCCCTTTGGATACACCCCTCTCCCAAGTCTCTCCTCTCTCTCCCTTTCTCTTTCAGTGTCCCTCCTCCCCAGTTCTGACATCCTGTTCACAAGTCTTATGCCTCCTGAAATCTCTCTCCCTTTCTTGGCAGAGTAACTTAACTTCGTCTCAGCTGCTATCCCTCTAAACTTGCACCCTCCCTCTACAGAATAATAGAAATCTTCAAGTATGTCAAAGATCATTTCACTGGGAGTAAAGACTTCCTTGAACTCAACAAACCAAAGAACCAGGGCTAAGCAGCAGACTCTATCTGATGAGGAGTAAGGCAGTAAGGACATTGTTAAAATACGTAAATTTTGTCTTGCTATTTGATTAAATTCAAAGGAGGGATTAATACACGTGCTAAGCAGAAGTGGGGCCAATTTACCTTTCACCAGTTTTATAAGAAACCATGGGATAAAACCATTCTGAGTTGATGCCATATTCCCAATCAATTTCAAAATATTTAAATTCCTTTCATTGTGTTTTTTCAACTCTTTTAGAAGATTTAGTAATTCTAAAATAGCCTCAAAATATATGAAGTAAAATTTATAGCACTATAGGTAGAAATTTAAAAATACAATGACCTACTAGATTTCAATACATCTTAGTTATTTGAAGGTCAAAAAATCACTAAAATGTAGAGCATTTGAGTAACATAACTAATATGCATGATCTAATAGGCATGTATACAGATCCTGCACCCAACAATTAGAGAATATACATCCTTCTCAAGCACACTGAAACATTTTTCAAAAAAAAAACCCCCAAAAAATAATGTGAAACAACTAAGAAGGAAGAGATTCTGTGATACAGATAAGCATTAACTTGATTCTCTTTTTAAATTTTTTTCTTGATTTTGAACATTACTAGCACTAAGTGAGCATAATGCTTATAATCATTGTTCCTGAAGCCATGATCACCCTTGTGAAACCCATCAATTTTTTTCCATTTGCAGACCCTGCCATGAATTGAGAGGGAACTGCTTGCATCTTTGACAACATAATTAAATTGTATGAGCAATCTGACTCAGCTGTTCATGTTTCTTTTTTTCAGCTTTACTGTGGTATAATTGACAAATAAAATAGTAAGATATTTAAAGTGTACATTGTGATAGTTTGATATACATATACATTGTAAAAGGATCTCACAGTCGAGTTAATTAACGTAGCCATTACCTCACATATTTGCTTTATTTTATTTTTGGTGAGAACATTTAAATTCTATTCTCTTAACAAATTTCAATTATACAATACAGTGTTATCAACTATAGTCACCATGCTGTACATTAGATCCCCAAACCTTATGCAGCTTATAACTGGAAGTGTGTACCCTTTTATTAACCTCTCCCTATTTTCTCTACTCCCTAACCCCTGGCAACCACTTTTCTACTCCTTATAAAAGTCTGACTTTTTTTTTGTTTTGTTTTTAGGATAGAGCAATCCTTTATTTTTAGACACTTTCACAAAGAGGTTTTCAGTAAATGAACTTTCTAGTGGAAAAGAGAGAACATGAAAATCAGCCTCCAGCCATCAGCAGCAGCTCTGCTCAGGGCCTAGGATCCCCCTTGCCCAAGTGGTGAGATGGAGGTGTGTACTTCCCTTCCTTTATTAGTTTATCTTGCTGCCTCGTGATGTCACTCAGATGTTTCATCGTTTTCTGCCGAAGCAGACATTCTACAAAATCATCAAATTCTATCTTGCACTCTTTCTCTTCATGGGTACCACCGATTCCATGCGCACATTCTATCCATTCTTTTTTTTTTTTTTTTTTTTTAAGATTTTATTTATTTATTTGAGAGAGAGAGAATGAGAGACAGAGAGCATGAGAAGGAGGAAGGTCAGAGGGAGAAGCAGACTCCCTGCTGAGCAGGGAGCCCGATGCGGGACTCGATCCCGGGACTCCAGGATCATGACCTGAGCCGAAGGCAGTCGCTTAACCAACTGAGCCACCCAGGCGCCCTCTATCCATTCTTTTTCAAAAGCATGGCATCGACCTGGGATCTTGTGAGGCTGCTCAGCACTTTGGATGGTCATCCAATGATCTAAGTTAAGGCCCAGCCTTTTCTGCACATCAAAGAAAGGCATGGTGTCGCGTGGCGGAGCCCTCGTCTCCTTGCTGGCCGCCGCTACCGGAGGATCTCTAAAAGTTTAACCTTTTTTAATTAAGATTTTTTTTATTTAAGATTTTTAAGATTTTCCAAGATTTAAGAGACACCATTTAGTATTTGTCTTTCTCTCCATCTGGCTTATTTCACTTAGCATTGAGAAATATCCGTGTTATCACAGGTGGCAGGATTTTATTCTTTCTCATAGCTGAATAATTTTCCTTTGTATGCATGAACCACATCTTCTTTTTCCACTCATCCACTGATGCACATTTAGGTTGTTTCCATACCTTGCCTGTAATAAACACTGGAATGCAGATATCTCTTCAATAACCTGTTTTCATTTCCTTCGGATATATACCCAGAAGTGGGATTGCTGGATCATATGGTAGTTCTCTTTAATTTTTTGTGGAATTTTTGTACTGTTTTCCATAGTGATGGTACCCATTTACATTCCCATAAGTTCCTTTTAAATAGTTTTTTCTGCAACTGCTCAGTTGTATCGCTCTTTCATTGGGCTCATCTTCTAAACATTGGTTTCCTCATCTGGAAAATGAGGATAGTATTTACATGCACTGGTTTGATGAGAATTAAATGAGATGCCCTAATATAACACACGTAATCACAGTGTCTGTTCATAGGAGGTAATAGGCAAATCTGTGCCCTCACCCTTACCCACATATGCCCACAGTGCTTCTCCCATCACTCCAGACCAAACTCCCATCAAATATCGTCAACTTGGGCGCCTGGGTGGCTCAGTTGGTTAAGCAACTGCCTTCAGCTCAGGTCATAACCCCGGAGTCCCGGGATCGAGTCCCGCATCAGACTCCCTGGCAGGGAGTCTGTTCCTCCCTCTGACCCTACCCCCTCTTGTGCTCTCTCTCTCTCTCTCAAATAAATAAAAAAATAAAATCTTAAAAAAAAAAATCGTCAACTTTCCTGGGGACAGGACCTTGTCTTTCTTCTTCTCCTCCTCCTTTTCCTCCTTCTCAGATGCCCCTCTTCTTCTTCTTCTCAAGACTTAATTATTTAGGGGTGCCTGGGTGGCTCAGTTGGTTAAGCAGCTACATTCAGCCAGGTCATGATCCCAGGGTCCTGGGATCGAGCCTGTGTCGGGCTCCCTGCTCAGCGGAGAGCCTGCTTCTCCCTCTCCCTCTGCCTGCAGCTCTGCCAACTTGTGCTCTCTATCTTTCTGTGGGGAAAATAAAAAAAAAAAAACTCTAAAAAAAAAAGACAATTTTTTAGAGTAGTTTCAGGCTCACCACAAAATTGCAAAATTACAGCGATTTCTCAGACACCCTGTCCCCATACATGCACAGCCTCCTCCATTATCAGTGTCCCTCACCAGAGTGGTGCAATTGATGAACCTATGTTGACACATCATATTCACCCAAAGTCCTTATTTTACATTTCAGTTCATTCTTGGGGTTGTACATCCCATGGGTTCAGACAAATATATAATGACCTAATGATATTATATTTTTACCACCTTAAAAAATCTTTTGTGCTCTGCCTATCCATTCCTCTTCTCCTTCCCCCAACCATAAAAACCATTAATATTTTTACTATCTCTGTAGTTTTACCTTTTCCAGAATGTCATATAGTTGGGATCATAGAATAGGTAGCCTTTTCAGATTGGCTTCTTTCATTTAGTAATATGCACTAAGTTTCCTCCATTTCTTTTCATGGCTTGATATCTCATTTCTTTTTAGCACTGGGTAATATTCCATTGTCTAGATATACCACAGTTTATCCATTCACCTACTGAAAGATATCTTGGTTGCTTCCAAGTTTTGAACTATGAATAAAGCTGATACAAACATTCACATGCAGGTTTTTGTGTGGACATGTTTTCAACTCCTTTGGATGAATACCAAGGAGCACAATCAATGGATCATATGATAAGAGTATATTAGTTTTCTAACAAACGACCAAACTGTCTTCCAAAGTAGCTTTGCATTCCCAGCAGCAGTGAATGAGAGTTCTTCTTGCTCCACATCCTGTCCAATATTTGGTGTCAGTGTTCCAAATTTTGTCCATTCTAATAGGTGTACAGTAGTATCTCGTTATTGTTTTAAGGCCTTGACTTTTTATCCCTTATGCTTAGCATAATGTGACAAATGCTGAGTATGGAGAAGTCCCTCAATATATGTTTCTTAGTTGATTTTCCAAGTTAAGTAGATTCTCCCTTTCTCTCCCTCTCCCTGCCCCTCTCAATTTCCACACATATATACATGCATACACATACAACCATATGTATATACATATTTTAGCCTGAAATTTCCTTACATTTGTTAGTAACATGCACTTATGTGACAATAAAAGTATTATCTTTAGAAAAGAGATAAGAAGTCTTGGTTACTCAACATGGTGAGCCATTGATTCTTATACATGAGAAAAAGTTAAAATGCCTACATTCATTGAAATTATCATATCTGTGGCAAGCAGGACCTTAGTTCTCAGGGTTCCACCTGGAAGATGAATGTTCCTTTTCCTTACAAGAATGATTTTATCTGCCAGTGAAGGATAAAGGGGTCATTTGAAGTGACAGACGCCTGAAATGCTGCCTCCAAGAAATACTGTTGCTAGTTTTGGTTAATTCTTCCTCTCTGGCTGGAGTATAACTAACCCCCACAACGGAGTTTGCTACCTGACTCATGTTTTATTTGACTTCATTCTTAACCCATCTATGAGTGCTTTGTAGATTGGTGTTGTGTTTTGGAAATACAAAGAATGCTGGAGAATTCAAGTGAGGCTTTTAAAAATTGATCATTAATTTGGTAAATAACATCGTCCTAGCAAGAATGTTTGTTTGACCCTTGGAATATAAACATTTTTAGGAAGTATATTAACTAGTTTGTTAATTCAATTATAAGTAATATCTTCTATTATTTTCTCTTACTCAAACACTACATTATTTGCCTTGAGTCTCAATTATTCCACATCTTTTTGCTGTGAGCCAGTCCTCAGTCATGCATGAAGCGTCTCCCATGTGTTATGCACCATATTAGCCAAGACACCAGCGCCCTAACATGTGTAGAGATCCAAGCTAGAGTACACATGGAAGCTCACGTGACATATGCCTAAATATTTCAAGGTTGCAAATGACAAGATATGATCCATCCTCCCACCATGATAAATATACCTTCATAACCCCACCTAGGAGGCCAGGTTCAACTTTAGAACCCTCAGGTTCCTTGAGGCTTCAGGCCCCAGCTCTCTGCCTAACTGCCTGCTCCTCCTAGTCCTGCTCTAACCTCATCCCTGGACACCTCGCATGCACACATGTGGACAGTCTAGCCTGTTTATACAAGTTCTGTCCATATGCTTCACGAATAGCTGCCTTGGCCAGTCCTCGGATCTAGGAGTGAGCATACACGTTGTTGGTCCCTACTTAGAGGACAGATCTTGGGAAAGGGCTTGTCAAGGCCCCAAAGGGAGGATTGGACCATTTGGACGGGGAATTCTTGGGCTCTAGGTAAGCAAAGCATGGTCTAGAAACAGGGAGCGTGGGATCTGGGTAGACATGGAATCCAGGAAGGCACATCCCTGGTCCTGCTGACTTCTCACCTCAGGGATAGGGACACTGCTGGAGGAGGGCCAAGGTAGGGTCTTTGAAGCACAACCCTCCGTTTTCAGGGTTTAAGAGCAGTGCATATGCTAGATAAGGAACTAAGATCCTGAATAGGCTGCAGATTGTTACCTCATAGTTCACTGAGGAGACGGACATATAAACAGTGAGCGCTATACAATGTGGTGCATGCAATAATTTAGATATGTGTATTGTGCTAGCATGACAGAAAAGGGTGGTGTCACTAGTCACGTCAGGAGAAGTGTCATTGGAGCTCAGTCTTGAGAGATAAAGTACTCACCAGGCAATGTACACCTGGATGAGATGGCAAGGAAGAGGGGAGCCTGGGTGGCTCAGTTAGCTGAGCATCCAACTCTTGGTTTTGGCTCAGGTCATGATCTCAGGGTCGTGGGATCGAGCCCCACAACCGGCTTTGCACTCAACGCAGAGTCTGCTTAAGATTCTCTCTCTGCCCCTCCCTCCTTGCACACTCTGTCCCTCTCTCAAATAAATAAATAAATTTTAAAATAAATAACTGTGATTTTGAGAAGACCCAAGCCCTTTGTTAGTCTCCCAGGTCATGTCACATGCGCCCACAGTGAGGCTGTGTACACGAGCCACCTACAAATTGAGCAGGCTGGCGATAACCTCTCTGGAAGAAGGCGTGACACAGGCTTCCAAGATTACAGAACTTCCTTGTGCCCATGTGTTTTCATGTTGATAAATGATTTGCCTTATGTACAAAATTTGATCTACCTGATTTAGTATTATTTCACAAAGAGTTTATCTTGCTTGCAGTGAATCCAGGCCCCTCTGTTTCTCCTTCTCTATATGAATCCTTCATGGGATATTCAGGAAAACAGTGGCATCCAAGAAAAATTAGCATTTAAAACTTTAGAATATAGTAGAAGGTTTGGATGAAGATGGGTTTATAATAACTGTAGAATTTCTAAAACCATGTACATTTATGTTTCTCAAGTCATTCCTATCCTTGTTTTTCATTGATAAGGGTTGGCTGTAACTGATTTCACATGCAGTTCTCAGATTTCATCTCCCCTTTAGATTTTCTTTTCCCCATCCCAGAAATAATATATAGAAACCATAATAGTTTAGTTCAATTCCTCTAAGAGAATAACTTGGCTTTTTGTTCCTGGGGCAATAATGTTTCATGTCTAATGATTAAGAATAAATAATGGGGCACACATTTCACTGGCAATCTAGGAAACAAATCAGTTGGAAAACTATGCCCTGAGTTTCTCAACTATTCTTCAGATTGGGTCAAAGTACAGGAAGAAAATAAACTCTTGTTCAAATTCTTGCCAGGCTTAGCAAAATCTCCTTTTGGAGGAAGCATATTCAGGGTAAACTCTCTGACTTGGCTTCTGTTCCTACTGGCACCCCATGAGATA